GCAGGAAGATGTGGCCTAAAGTCAAGTCATTCCAGGTGGAGGAGATGGCTCGAGCAAACCCAATATAGCCTGGCCTATTTCAGGAACCGTAATTATTCCAATATTAGCAAAGAATAAAAAGAAAAACTGATGAAAGATGACATTGGAGTAATCAGAGCCAAATCATGAGAGAAATGTATACAGCATTGCTTCATTTATCCAAAATTAGCAGGGAACAGGCATGAGGTTTAGAATTAAATAGCTCCAGGTTGGAAATCAAACTCCATCATTTTGTTCATGGATCTCTCTAAACCTCCATATCCTCATCTGTAAAACCAGGAACATACACAAACCTACTTTATAAGGTTGCTTTGGGGGAAAACACATATATAAGTGTTAAGACCTGGGCCTGGTATATCTTATGTATCCAATAAATGTTAGTGATTGATTTTTGCTATTGCGATGATTGCTGATGAGATTTTTTTCCACATTTGTAAATTTGCAACATAACTGTAGCCTATTTTCTTGAGCACCAAAACTTATTAAACCCTCTTTTTCCTAAACTACCTTTTCAAAGTGAATTCCATAAATCTCCAACTTTCAAACACCAAACTTACATTTTATCTGTACAGATGGCTGCACCTACGTTCATCCCCTCCACTCCCAATGCCCTTCTCCTGCCACCAGGACAATTATGGAAATTTCTGAGCTTTTAACATCCCTATTCAAAAATAGGGAAATAAAAGAGGCCACATAAAGGTGGAACTGCTGAAAGTAGTCGTTTGTTCAGAATTTTGAAAAAGAAAGAACTTGACTGCTTAGAGTAATGGTTACCATCCAATGAGTCGATAGAATTTTCAAAACAACCACTTCACTGTATTAACCTCTATTCTATTCCCCAAACCCACTGGTAACAGTGATGTGCCATCTCTGCTGATAGCTAACATGTAGCCAGTACCATTAGATCCTTGATGTTTGTCCATTTCTAATGAGCCACACCTTAAATACATTCAAAAATTCCTGGCTTCGTCTTACCATCCAGCCTACTTTTCTATGGTGGTCTCCATGGGTGACTTAATAACTTTCCATACAGTAAACACACCAGGCACTTCTAAATCTCTCCACCTTGATCTTTGCTGTTCTCTCTGCCTGGCATATACTTCTATCCTCACCTCTTACCACGATGCCACCCTACCATCCTTGGAGGCTTACTCCAAACACCACCTCCTCTCTGAAACCCGATTTCCCTCCCTTCAGTAGAATTAAATGTCATGTTGTGGGAATGTCCCCAGCATTCACTGGTGTTTCTGTTGTTACAACAATCACGTATTAAACAGAGGTAGGTGGCAAGCATCATTCCAGGTGCTGTCTATATGCTATCATGTAGTTTTCACCGGAAACTTGTAAGACATTCTTACAAGCCCCAATTTACAAATCGAGGAACTAAAGCTCTGAGTGTTGGACTTACCAATGATTGCACAACTGGAAAGGGATACAGCCAGAATTCCAACCATGTTCTAACAGCTCCCAAATCCATAACGTTTTCACTCTGCTATGTTTCCTCTCTTTGATGGCCCTGTTTCCAGTTAGTTAATTATATACATTATCTGTCTCTTCCATGGCATTATAGCAACTCCCTTGAAGACCAGGGCATGTTCATTTTCATAAAAGTGGATAATGATATATCCATTTATACAAGATTCTTATGAGGATTAAATGAGACAATACATACTAGCATAGTGTCAGGCAGATAATAAGCACCTACTAACTTGCTAGTTTAATTGTTACTATTATTGTTACCATGTCAGGTGCCAAGAATAAAGCCGTGCACATAAATTCTGAGTTCAGGTTCATTTCTGAGGAGCAAATGAAATGGGTGAGGGTCTGAAGGAAGAAGCAAACACTACTTTGGTTTGGCACTTCCCACAATATCACTTAATCAAAAGCAACAAGAATTAAGAAAGTTTCTATAATAAGTTCTATTGATTCCTTTATCTTTCTATCACCACATAAACATTAGGAAAACTTCCTGTTCTGTTCAAAACTCTTACAGCTATCTTACTTTCTTCCCGCCATCTCCTATGCAATTTGACAAGGTTCTCCTCCGAGAATTCAGTACATATCAAATACTGAGCTAGAAGAAGAAGAAAATTACGAAAATAAATGGAAGCACAGAGGGCAAAATAAAATCTTAAATTTTGGTGTTTATAAACATAGGGAAACACTCTCTTTTCTCTTCATACAATTTAACCGTATGTTGTCATCGTATTTATTTAATTGTGTGTCAGTCATCCTCTACTAGGAGGCAAGTTGTTAGAGGAGGCAATCTATCCATTCTATTCACTGCAATCCCCTAAGGCCTAACACGTATCTGATGCAGAGTAGTCACTCATGAAATATTGGTCAATTGACTGATTGCAAATGTTTGTATTTACATATGTATATACATATATATTTTTACATATATATGACACCATTCCATGATTTGTGAATAAATTCACATAAAACTCTACATATAAGTGCACCTTGTGCATTTGTGTGCATATATTCGTATTTATGCAGAAGATGTTTCAGACTGGAGAAAAACAGATGCTTGTTTGTCAAAGTTGTGTCTCCTTAACATGATCATGGCTTCTGACTGACCGGTCTAATATTTAACAAATAAACACTACTGCCATATACTAACAATCCAAATGTGAAAGAACATTAAATGCGCATGTAAAAAAATAATTAACTCAAGCTATGAAACTTCTCCTACCTTTCAAAATGTCTTGTCCCTGTTCATTAGCATAAGTGTACGTGGTTGGGGAGAGGGGTAAGGACCAATAATGTTTACCTGTAAATCTGGCAGGAGAAACATTCCAAATTCTCATGGGCTGACCAGATTTCCTTATTTATGTTGTAACATATACCAGAAATTATAATTTATAACAATTATAAAGCAACCATTTTCTGGGTACACAATGTACCAGATCCTTGGCATCAGTTTTTATTAAAAATTTAAGCCTTCTAACAACTCTGCAATATAGATAAACAAGAAAGCCAGGACTCGAAAAATATAGTAACTTGCCAAAGATTCTCTGCTGTTTATCTAGTCACAGCATACTCAGTGTACAAATTCAGAATTCTACTCTGAAGCTCAAACTTATTTCAATAAGCAATGGTGCCTTTTACATGGTTTTACAGCCACTAACTTTGAGGCATATGTGTTTAGGTCGTTTTCATAGTGTACGGATTTTAATAAGTAATTCCCTGCACATAAAGACCAGACCAAATAACATCCAAACACACTGAAGATTACTCCAGGCTACAGAAAGCAAGGAACAAATGTGTCTCAGAAACTATCAGCCTGTATTTCTCAGAATATGAAGCATTTTCCACTTGATTGTGTCCTCTAACAAGAAATCTATCCTCTAACAGGGCTTCATTATTCCTCCTCCTATATTAAAAAAATAGACTCTTTCATTGCAAACCAATGGGAAGTTCTTAACTCATTTCCTTAGATCACTTGAAATGAAAGTGCTTTCTGTCTTTAGGGAAAATAATTGCTGGATGTGATGCTTGTGCCTGCTTTTGAGTCCCACAATCAATACTGTGAAGGAAAGAAAAAATTAACCCTTATATACTTTTAGAAAGAGTGGAGTTATTTTTAAATTCAATGATGGTAGAGTTCAAAAAAAACAGAAGGAAAATCCTGCCTTCCAAGGAGAATGCAGTTGCCTTCCTCTAAACAAATTGGCTCTGTTATCTTTTTAACCTCTCTTTCCAGGAGGAGGCCTCAGAAGGAGAAGGAAACCATATGTTTAAAAAGTTTTTAAAAATGTATAGATGCTCCTGAATATTTGTAAATAACTGTAGTGAAAAATGTTTACATGAGAACTCACCTGCCCCTGCACTGATTAGAAAGATCCTCTGCAGAGCAGAGGGGAGCATTTCCAACCACCCAGACCACTACAATCACAGGAAGAAGCCAACGGCAGCATCTTCAGCCCCAGGGACTAAAGGTGAAAGGGGCACCAGGCAGTGGTGGAAGCACCCGTATGTTCCCTCAACATGCCCGGGGAGGTGGAGAGGAAGGGGAAGCAGCTCTGCCTTCCCTCCAATCTAACTACACAACCCCTGCTGCCGTAACTTATTTTTAGACATTCGATCTAAAATTCCCGGAAAGGAAGCGGATCTACAACCTCTGAGTGATCCTCAGAGTTCTGATTTCCAACCTGGCTTGGGGATTTCGTTTGTTTTCTGACTTCAGGTGCCTACTTAAAGTACATCTCCCATCTTCCAGAGGCATCCATAGTCTAAGCCAATAAAAAGAGCTGGGAGCTTTGGAGCTTTAAGTGATGAAAAATCCAGCACCCACAGGTCAAAAGTAATGACCTTGGGGAAGTTACTCATCCTTCTGAAGAATCAATTTGTGGTCAACAAGATGAGATAATAATACTAGAAAGTTGTTTGACATTTCAACACAAAAATTGCACAGTATCGTCCCTTAGTAGGACGTCAGCAGTACTATGCATTTGCTGTGGGCACACTGTGCAAAGCTGCGGGATCCGTCCATGTGTCCACTGCCCATCACTCCGACGTTGGGGATTTGTTACCAACTGTGCACCCCACCTCGGGGAGATGCCTTTTACCTGCTTCTTGTTCCCTACAGCTTCAAATGTCTGCAGAGCCCAAGAGATAGATTCTCATTAAGTGCAAGAGACTAAGTTATCCTGGGTTCTCCTTCCCTCTGTTTATCCGTAAATTGTTAAATAAAACTCCGCTTTCTGAAGAAATGCGTCGAGTCTTTACCTGCGCAAAGCAGGTGTCTGCACATCTCTGGGAGTCAGGGGTGGGGAAGGGACCCTAACTAAAGTCTCCAGGTTGGGAATGGCACAAATGGAGGGAAAGGACACGGAAGAGCGGATGAAAGGCATGCCTCTGCGAGGCGGTGCAAGGCGGTCCTCGCCGGTGACCCTGTCCTCTGCACTAGGGGAGGAAAGGACGCTAGAGGGGATGAGCCGCGAGGGCAGGAGTACCTGAACGCTCTGGCCGCGGTCTGGTTCCTCCTCCATGCCGTGCCCTGTTGCAGCACACCCTGCACGATCTCCTTCTCGTTGGGCAGCCGGTAGACGGGAAAGATGTAGAGCCAACAGAGGACCACGACACAGAGGGCACTGGCTCCCATGGGCAGCCGGGTCCGTGGGAACTTCCACGCCAGTACAGCCATGGCCCCTCTGGACGTTTGTCGCCGGGCCCGCCCGCAGGGGCTCATCGCAGCCCCGGCGTCCCAGGGGCGGGGGCCGGGGCCTCAGCACAAAGCTAGGCGAAGTGGCAGCGGAGGGTCTCCCACCGCCGGCCCCCCATGCACACACACCTTTCGTTCTCTTGCTTGCAAACGCACGCACGCTTCTTCTGCCCCGTCGGCCCCAAAGGTCAGCGCAAGGATTTTTTTAAATGCAACTTTTCCAAGGATTTCTTTCTAGGGGAAGCGGCTGGGGGGCAAGTCACGATCTATGGCCATGGTCGCTTCCCCTGCAGAAGGCGGGCGCTGGGGTCTCCGAGAGCGCAGACAGCGGTGGCGGCGAGTCGCTCCGGCCAGTTCTGCCGCATCACGGTCGCCGTCGGCGAGGGTCCGGGAAAAGGCTCGGCTCTCTCCCAGACATTTGGCCGGTGGCGTCCCCTTGTCCCCTTCCAAGCGATGCTCCTGCGCCCTTCGCCGCCTCCCGCGCTACTGCGCCGCCAGGCAACCCCCCTAGACGCGCTCTCTGCGCCGCGCCAAGTCCTTGGAAATTTCCACGGCGGCCCGGGACCGCTATCCTGCCCCGGGCTCCTCCGCCTCGCCCGCCAGGACCCTGGCTCTCCACCCCTCCCGGAGAAGAAAAGAACTCGCTCTCATCAGTTAATTCAGCGGCGCGCCGCAGCCTTCCGCTGCGCCCTGGACTTCGCAGACAAACGCCCGGGGATTGGTGGAAATCAAGGTCTCCCCCTCCCTCCCCCACCCGCAAAATTGCCTCTTTCGACCCGATCCGAGCCGCGACACTCGCCCAGAGCGCGCACCCCTCACTCGTGCCCTGGAGATAACGGCAGACAATAAAAAACAACAGCCCCCGCCAGTAGAAATATATCAGTCCCTGAGTGCGGCGGAGACTGGGTAATATCCTGACCCTTCGACACGCGGCCGGTGTGCCCGGGCTGTCACCCTGCTGCCGTCACCCTTGTCTTTCTCTAACTGGTTGGATATTAACCCGCAGCCAGGCGCGAGGAGGCTGGCGGAGATTTATTCCTTCCTGGGCCCCCACCCCCATTAGCCGGTCCCGTAGCCGCGGCCCGTGTGCGCGCGCGCGTACACACACACACACACACACACACACACACACGTTCACGGGCGCAAGCGAGCGCGCTCACGAGGAGGTGCGTGCGCTCCGGGGTCCTCCGCCTCGCCTCCTCCCTGCAAGGAAAGGCACTGCTGCATCCAGATGTGCAGGCAGCTGGTGCCCAAACGCCAGACCTCAAGATGTCAAATTGCCTTGGAGGCGTGCGGCCTTTTGGATTAAAGGATCATTGGTTCTTAGACGTCCTTCTTGCTCTTCTTGCTTGTGATAAGCGATAAGCTTATCGCAACCCCGACCTTGGAAAAGCGCCACCCGCCTGGACCCACCGAGCTGAGGGAGTCGCTGATTAGCCATTTCTGCTCTCCTCGGCGGCGACGCATAGCTTGGGTACCTCCTAGCGGTCGCCTATTCTATTTGCTTAAGCATCTCGTCAAGCATAAAGTGTGCAAGGACAAAGAAGAAACCTGGTCAGCGTAGTCATCACGAAAACAAAATCTAAGGCTATAACTCCATTTGTTCAGCCGACTAGGCTGCGGTGCCTGGTATCTTTTTCTAGCATCCTTCTCCACTGAGAGGTAGAACTTGAGAAGTTGATGCAAAGTTATTTACCAAAAGCGAAGTAGCATCCCAGATGACCACTTTGGTGTCATTTTCTCAACAATACTGCGCACTCTTAGTTGAGTGACCTACTGCCCTCCACCGGCAGGCGCGCCCCAGAAATCTCTGTCCTACTTAGGTAAATCAGTAGAGACAGGGGAAACCTTGAAATCCCAGTCACATCTTAACACAGTGGAGGCTAATACAGATTCTTTAAAATGAAGATCATCTTAAGTCCTGCAAAGTTAACCAGTCAACTCTCTTCTATTCTGGAAAAGGGGAAGGGAGGAAGGAGCTTTTCCTACTTGCCTGGGCTTTGGATAAATCATCTGCCATCTCTGATCTTATAATTTAAGTAAAACACAAACCATTCCCATTTCTCTTTTCTTCTTCAAGTTCAAGGGATATTTGTAGAGTAAATAACAAAGAAATAAACTGGCGAACAAAACTAAGGCATATTACAGTTATGAAGGGGCTATGTAAATGTTTCTCCATTTAATATCATAATAATGCATTAAAGTCATGCTTTATATCAAAAGATCTGTGTAACACAATGTGCTGTTTTTCTTTCTTCTGCAAACTAAGAATTCTCTTACCCTAGTGGGCTTTTGCCCACCCAACAATCCAAACTTATTCCCTGCTTTTTCTTAACGTGAGCCCCAAATCTAATCAGGCCATCGCTCTCACCCTTCCAAGTCATACTACATTGGTCTGTTCTCCCATTACTATAAAGAATACCACTGAGACTGGGTAATTTGTAAAGGAAAGAGGTTTAATTGTTCCACATGGCTGGGGAGGCCTCAGGAAACTTACAATCATGGTGGAAGGCAAAGCAGGCATGTCTTACATGGTGGTAGGCAAGAAAGAGAATGCGTGTATAGGATGAACTGTCAAACACTTATAAAACCATCAGATCTCGTGAGAACTCACTATCATGAGAACAGCCTGGGGGAAACAGCCCCCATGATCCAATCACCTCCCACCAGGTCCCACCCTGGACATGGGGGGATTATTGGGAAAACAATTCAAGATAAGATTTGGGTGGGGACACGGAGTCAAACCATATCACACACAGGTCTCAGTTCTGTCACAGTGTTGTGATCCACGCATGGGATGTGTGTTCGGTTTTTTTTTTTCTCCCCATGTATAAATCCAGTGCATTATTCAAGACCAAGCCAAGTACCTAGCAAGTTCTCATTCAATAATGTATTCCCAGGCCACCTAAAACACAGACTTTATGGGAACTCAATAAATATTTGTGGTTTCTGCTTCTATTCTCTTTGACCTCCTGCTCTGATTTCATAGTATTTGCTGGCTCTGACAGATGATTAAACACTTAGTTGTGTTGTGTTGTGCTGTGTTGTGTTGTGTTGTACTGCTAGCATTTTTCATATATAACTATGTCTCACCAACTAGGCAGGAAGGGTATTTAGTCTTATGTATCAAATGACAAGCCTGTGCTTTTGATCAAATTAGGACTCCACATGGCATGGCTAAGTGTCTAGGAGAAGAGAAAGAACAATATTTCCCGTTTTCTTCATGTTCCTCTAGGTACCAACAACTCAGGCACTTCAACAAATAATTGTTGCTTGGTTTTACAGTGAGATCCTCAAACTCATTCAGTCTATTGCCAAGGCATCACTGTTTAAGGAAAAGTATGAACCCCCAAGTTTTAATGTTTTAAATAAAATATTTTAACCGATATTTAGCCATCTTGTTTGTATGACTTATAGTAAGTAGCTTAGGTATTCTTTTATACTTCTGCATCTAAGTATGCTTAGTGGACACAAACAGGATTTCCTCAGGGACTAAACAACTTTTAAAACTCTATAAATGTGGAGTAGAAAAATATAAAGGCAGGAGTCCAGATTAAGCAGAATTGTCAGTGATTTGAAATAAAAATTTTAAAAGGCCATTCTTCAGTCTCTGCTCAAGTTCTTCTTGTCAGAATGGCTTGGAATGGCCAGTCAAAAGCATAAAATGATGCCTGTTTCACAACCAATTACAATACCAAGGTAAATAAGGTTGTAGATTGAGAAAGGTTATAAACACAGTTTATCTGAATAAATGCATTTATTTATCTCCACTCCCTATTGTGACCTCACTAAAAAAACAGCAAAGGACTAAAAGAGAAAAAAGATTCAGAAGAACAGGAGAAAAAGAAGGAATACAAAAGCAGACAAACGATGTCAAAAAGTTCACAAGGAGGAAAGCAATTAAACAAGTGTTAACTGCCTTATCAGGAAAGAGAAAGGTCTGGGCCTTCAAGTAACTGTGTGTGTGTGTGTGTGTGTGTGTGTGTGTGTGTGTGTGTGTGTGTGTGTGTCTGTGTGTATGTGTGCGCGCGCACAAAAACTAGGGGAGCATAGAGAGAAGCCAACAAGAATCAAGCTAATTTGTACTACAGGGTTCTTGAAAGGCTCAGAAATAAATCACCTAGGACCTCTGGAGATGGAGGTAATGAATTAAACGAAGTAAGAGGTTTGTTGGAAATCTTTAAAAAGGAGCAGTTGAAACATCTAGATCTTATTCCCCAACCTGGCTTGAAACAGGAAGTTAACTCTCTAGAGATTGACCAGCACAAAAAAGAAGACCTACAGATTCTGATATGTGCAAGAGATCTCCAATCAAATGGCCAAATCCCTGTCTAACACCCTCTAGTGAGACCCACCAGTGGATAAGCTCTGCCTACACAGAGTTTCGTGGCCTCTTTTTAAGGCCTCCTTCTTAAACATGAGGGGAGAGTCAAGGATCCCTAGACATTTGAAGAGAGTCTCCAACATGAAAGCAGAGACAAAACAAGCAAATAATCACACACAGAAATCAACCCTAAGAAAAAATGCTAACACAGGAAACATAAGAAATCTTCAATAAAAACCATAATTAATATCTCACATGGGCTAAGACACAATCCAATGAAGCAAGAACAAGAGGAATGTTCAGACGACAAAAAATAAAGTCCTTTGAAACTGAAAATATGTAACAAAATATATAACAGAATTCATAGAAAAGTTGAATTACAAAGTTGAAGAAATATCCCAGAAAGCAGGCCAAAAATCTAAAAGAGGAAACAAGATAATGAGTTATAGACTCAAAAAAAAAATCAATATCTAAACAACAAGAAACAAAAAGGAGAAGATTTTCAAAGACATACTAAGAAGAAATCCTAAAATTTAAGGGTTCATTAAGGACTCAATATAATGCATTTTTTAAACCCACACCAAAGGTATATAACAGTGAAATTTCACAAAATAAGAAAGAGAAAATCATGAAAGATTAAAAAAGAAAAATGCATTCAAAAGATTGGAAATTATGTTGGAATTAGATTTATTTAAAGCAAAAAAGCTGAAAATCAACTTTACTTGGGCTCATCCAAGAACTAAAGTTACAAGTCTATTCCCCCCTCCTCCAAATGGAGAGATGAACAAATCCAGAGCCAGAGTTGAGGTATGTTTATCTGGAGCATAAGATGTTGAAGCCATAAACTGGTAGGAAAGCTTAAGTGGTCATTTGGAATTGGCATAGTGGAATTGCTGGAGGCTGAGTGTGGACTAGAGTGAAAGGGAGAAACTCCTGGGGATCACAATCAGGAACTCCTGGAGATCATGGTCAAGTGGGCGTCCACACTTTTAGGAGTTTTATCTCCAAGAATCTCACTGATACAGGATGGGGGCCAGAGAAGTATTGGGTAAAGAAGGGCAGTGTCCCTGGAGAGGGCTCCACCCTCAGGCCTGTGCCCACAGACCTAAGTGAGAACAGGCACTCCTGTTTTTGTGCCCAGATGTTGCATTTTCCAAAACCACTCTGGCCCACCATGCCCCCCA